GCTTGACCCAAACCTCCTTGGCCTGACCCCAAACCATCTCAGCTTGACCCAAAACCTCCTTGGCCTGACCCCAAACCATCTCAGCTTGACCCAAAACCATCCTGGTCTGACCCCAAACTATCTCAGCTTGACCCAAAACCATCTCAGCTTGACCCAAAACCTCCTTGGACTGACCCAAACCATCCTGGTCTGACCTAAAACTATCTCAGCTTGACCCAAACCATCCTGGTCTGACCCCAAACCATCTCAGCTTGACCCAAAACGATCTCAGCTTGCCCCAAACCTCCTTGGCCTGACCCCAAACCATCTCAGCTTGACCCAAAACGATCTCAGCTTGCCCCAAACCTCCTTGGCCTGACCCCAAACCATCTCAGCTTGACCCAAAACGATCTCAGCTTGCCCCAAACCTCCTTGGCCTGACCCCAAACCATCTCAGCTTGACCCAAAACGATCTCAGCTTGCCCCAAACCTCCTTGGCCTGACCCCAAACCATCTCAGCTTGACCCAAAACGATCTCAGCTTGCCCCAAACCTCCTTGGCCTGACCCCAAACCATCTCAGCTTGACCCAAAACGATCTCAGCTTGCCCCAAACCTCCTTGGCCTGACCCCAAACCATCTCAGCTTGACCCAAAACGATCTCAGCTTGCCCCAAACCTCCTTGGCCTGACCCCAAACCATCTCAGCTTGACCCAAAACGATCTCAGCTTGCCCCAAACCTCCTTGGCCTGACCCCAAACCATCTCAGCTTGACCCAAAACGATCTCAGCTTGCCCCAAACCTCCTTGGCCTGACCCCAAACCATCTCAGCTTGACCCAAAACGATCTCAGCTTGCCCCAAACCTCCTTGGCCTGACCCCAAACCATCTCAGCTTGACCCAAAACGATCTCAGCTTGCCCCAAACCTCCTTGGCCTGACCCCAAACCATCTCAGCTTGACCCAAAACGATCTCAGCTTGCCCCAAACCTCCTTGGCCTGACCCCAAACCATCTCAGCTTGACCCAAAACGATCTCAGCTTGCCCCAAACCTCCTTGGCCTGACCCCAAACCATCTCAGCTTGACCCAAAACGATCTCAGCTTGCCCCAAACCTCCTTGGCCTGACCCCAAACCATCTCAGCTTGACCCAAAACGATCTCAGCTTGCCCCAAACCTCCTTGGCCTGACCCCAAACCATCTCAGCTTGACCCAAAACGATCTCAGCTTGCCCCAAACCTCCTTGGCCTGACCCCAAACCATCTCAGCTTGACCCAAAACGATCTCAGCTTGCCCCAAACCTCCTTGGCCTGACCCCAAACCATCTCAGCTTGACCCAAAACGATCTCAGCTTGCCCCAAACCTCCTTGGCCTGACCCCAAACCATCTCAGCTTGACCCAAAACGATCTCAGCTTGCCCCAAACCTCCTTGGCCTGACCCCAAACCATCTCAGCTTGACCCAAAACGATCTCAGCTTGCCCCAAACCTCCTTGGCCTGACCCCAAACCATCTCAGCTTGACCCAAAACGATCTCAGCTTGCCCCAAACCTCCTTGGCCTGACCCCAAACCATCTCAGCTTGACCCAAAACGATCTCAGCTTGCCCCAAACCTCCTTGGCCTGACCCCAAACCATCTCAGCTTGACCCAAAACGATCTCAGCTTGCCCCAAACCTCCTTGGCCTGACCCCAAACCATCTCAGCTTGACCCAAAACGATCTCAGCTTGCCCCAAACCTCCTTGGCCTGACCCCAAACCATCTCAGCTTGACCCAAAACGATCTCAGCTTGCCCCAAACCTCCTTGGCCTGACCCCAAACCATCTCAGCTTGACCCAAAACGATCTCAGCTTGCCCCAAACCTCCTTGGCCTGACCCCAAACCATCCTGCCTTGACCCCTCCCAGGTCCTGAGCAACTTCAGCATCGAGGCCGTGTCCACCGAGGACGTCCCCACCGTTTTCCGCTTCATCCTGATGCCCGAGAAGTCACCGCTGCTGACCTTCCGCACCCTCGACTGACCCGGCGGGGTCCCTGGGGGTCCCTGGGGGTCCCTGGGGGTCCCTGGGGGTCAGTGAGGGGTCCCCGGGGGGTAACTGAGGGGTCCCTGGGGGTCCCCGGGGGTCCCTGGGGGTCACTGAGGGGTCCCTGGGGGTCCCTGGGGGTCAGTGAGGGTCCCTGGAGGTCACTGGATGTCCCTGGGGGTCCCTGGGGGTCCCTGGGGGTC